TATGCATGGGTGGCAAGTGTCAAGAAAAAAGCCAAAAGAGTAACATTAATATTGTGATGGAATTACGTAGACCTAATAATTTTAAATTTAAAGGGTTGTGCATGCATGTGAGATGGCCACGACGTAGAAAAGGGCAAACTCCAGGGGGGTGTGTTAGTTGGGTCCCAATTAACAATGTGGCTTGTCTTATCCGTGACAAAATATCTATGTTTTCTTCTTCTTGTAACTTTCATACAAATTTATGTAAAAGAAAATAAAGACACAAGTTTATACAAAGAGGGGTATAGTAGTAGAGACTGTGGCCTGTGGCCTGTGGGGAATGTTATACGGTGGATTCGCGGTGTCCGTCTACATCATTTGACCTTTTAACTCTCTCTATACCAAGAAAATAATGTGGATTAACGGGACTCGTATGGTGGAACACGTCGTCATGACTTGAGTGAGTATATGTATTTAGGTGGTAAGAGAAAAGAATAGTTGGGTTTTATTTCGATTAACTGTACTCGTACATCATTAATAGATACGTTCAGTTTTATAAAAACACGCTTTGAAATGAGATAAATAGAAAAAACAACTATATCTTTGCTTGTATCTTTTCTTGAGCTCGCTTACAATGACTTAGAATAGCTAAACAAACTGCGCTGCCTAAACATGTACAATATGTTCGATGTTCAACATTTTTACATTTTAAATAATATATGGGTTATTATATTGGTTATTAATGCTCAAGCTAAATCTGGTCATTATTGTTGTAGCAAAAAACATCGTATTGATCAAATTAAAGCCTTGTTTTTCAGCTTAATTCCACTAATTTTAGGAAAAATAAGTTTTAATACGAGGTATAAGCTCAAATTATATTAGTTTTGAAAAATTAAGTTTCAAAAATTACACAAATTCGATCAACAAATAATATAAGCTCTAATAACTTCATTCAAATTAGTTTAGGTAATAGTTTAGGTAAGTTAACAGTTTAGTTCAAACAAGTGTATAAAAGTGTAAAACATATGAACAGAAATCACCCTCATTTAACATGAGATGTTTTATCATTGGTATTATTTGGTGGTTCTAATTTCAATTGCAATAAATTTATAAAACTAATTTAAAATTTGACTTGTTCTAATATTATGCGACCAGTCCGCATTAATTCTAGTTCTAGCTAAATCCTAAAAGTTTTCCAAATAAAAAGAATAATCTTGCTTCACCCCCAATATATTTGCAAGGTTGTCAATGAATTCACATTGTAGAAATTTGTATAACAAGCAATAGGACCACAAACATTGTTGGTATCATCCAAATTTCGTGGATACGTACTCATCTACTAACATGTACATACCAAAATGAAAAGGCTAGACCAGGGTTGCTTTAAGACCTCATTCCTCCACTCCATGTGCTCCACTCAGTTTCTTGCCTTCACTTTTCTCTACGGACAACGATGGATGTATGTATCACATACTAGTACTAATTTAATTTATGTATGTATATATCTTCAAAATAAATGCCAAGAACTCTAAATAATCCCACAAAACTAAATCCAAAATATTTAAAATTCAAAGTCATTGACAACAAAAGTCAAAATTAGATTGTTGCTGCTTCCGTTTCTGAAAGTTCTTATTTTAGCTTTTAACGATATTATTCCAAAACTTAACTCTGATCATCGTGAGTCATATGCATGCGAGGTAAGGAGATGTATGTACGGGTTATATTGTTGTGGGATCCTATTAACTAGGTCTGTCTCGATCGATATTTGTATCTTCACAATATCAGTAATAGATCAACTTTATTAGTAAATCAATAATGATGGTACTTCGATCTTAATTTGAAACTATCACGTTATTTTTAAAAAGGCTAGCTAAGGCAAAATATTCTACTAACTCAGGTACCTTAAGGTCAATCTAATTAAAAATTTGCATGTTACACTCATTGATGTACTAAGGGAGGAGGATAAGGAAAAGTCGCACTCCAAATTACCCCTTCTTGTGAAATGTAATTCCATAGCCTTCAATTCATGAGATCAAACCCTTATCATGAAATCAAGTCTTGCTTGATATTTATTTGAATGAAATTAATTATCAACGTATATTTAAGATATAGGAGTCACATTAGAAGTATGACATATTACTAGTATTGTATTACTCGTACAAGAAAGTGGCTTAGGCTAAATACACAATATTTAATTAAATGTTTAAAATCAGTGGTTGGATATTCTTGTGCAAATAAATAAAATACACAAAAAAAAAAAAAAAAAAAAAAAAAAAAAAGTATGTCGACAGCCAATATTCTTCCCACTTTCCAGAATATATTCCTTTCTAATTTTATTCTAAGTTCCATTTCCAGTAACACATGTAATTATTCTAATAATAGTAATATTACTTAATGATTATGCAAGACGTCATGACGTGTAACGGTTATAAAAATCATAAAAGACCTTTCCCAGTACTTAAAATTAATAATAAGTTGCTTGCATTGACTTACGGATAATAATTGCAACCCTAATTAAGTAAGGTATGAAGTATATATTAAATTGCAGCTTCAAAAGGAATTCATGAAGTATATATTCAAGCCAAATTGAGTCAAGTACTACTACCCTATAAATGCTCATGTTTATTTAACTTAGGTGAACCTATACATTCAATTGAACTCAACAATCTATTATTCAATCTTGGTTTTATTTTTTGTATTAATCACAAGATTATAGCTAGAGTTTGTGATAACTCATTTATTAATTTAGCCGAGTTCATATATAACCGATCGATTTGTATTATAAATTATAAACGAACACGTACTAATTGCACTTATAACATTTAAAAATCTCATGATTAAACATAGAAAAATTGGTTTAAAATAATCTCAACTATTAGCGGTGTGTGCAACATAATACAACTTCAACTATTTGCTTTTAGCAGTGTCACCTTTTGTAGTATATGTGCAAAATGGTATACCATCCATCAAAGAAGGTATCTCGAGAAATAATTCGTCCATATTTATTATTATACTATTTTTATATTAATTATTAATAAAAAAAATTCAGAATACATAATTCCTCTATTTTTATTTACAATAACACACTACTTTGACATGACACACACTTTAAGAGAGATATTAGACTAGATAAACAGACAAATTAATTAACAAATTTTTATCACCAATAAGAAGAAAGTGTTATTTAAAAAAGAAAGTGTTAAGTTGCTACGATTTAAATTTAATTTATAGCATACTTTGTCCGCTTACATATATATAGTCTAATCACTTTTTCAAATAGCTTAGCATGTCAAAAAAAGGTATGTTGTAAGTGTAAAAAAAGGAAATATTGTGTTAATTTTGGTTTTTAAAATATTTTTTGAAACTAATTATATCAATATAATAAAGCATTTAAATACCCTATTTACTTTTGTTTGATTGTAGAAATTTTTTTCTTTACAGAAATTAATATTAGCCTAACAAAGGGGCGGGGCATTGTTAATTTGGGTAGGAGAAAATTATTAACGTAAAATGCATTTTGAAAAAAAAATATTTCATTTAAAAAAATTATAATTAAAAAAATATATAATAATGAATATGGACGGAATATTCCTTAAGATGCCTTCTTTGATGGTTGGCGCTGATATCAAATAGTTGAGGTTGTATTATTTTGCACACATCGTTAATAGTTGGGATTATTTTAAGCAAATTTTCCTTAAACATAATAATCAATTCCAAATTAAAAAAAAAAATAATAGTTTACATTTTATTTGTTAAACCAACTAAATTAAAAATAACAACAATTGTGAATAAGTTGATTAAACAAGTTTTATCTTGTAAATCAGACAATTTTGTTCATGAACATACATACATGAACATACATAAATAAACAATTTGTTCATGAGCTTATACATATGAACAAGCTGAGTATAACCATGTTCATATTCATGTTCGATCAAGCTCAGGCATTCAAGCCCATTTATTAATGAGCTCCTAAAATTGTTTCAGCTAAGCTTGATTCCTTTATTATAAATGAACATAAACGTACTAGCAAGATTTAGTCGAGCTTAAGCCTAATTAAGTTGTTCGTTTATTGACTATCTTATTATGACAATCTTATTAGCACACTTACACCCCTATGACTCAATCAAATAAGATGTCAAATTTGATCATTTTATCGAATAATCACATTCAAATAAATTACTAATAAGCTGTTCTTGAGGGATGATTTAGAATTTTATGATCAGGCTATGTTTTAGGGTTTGTATGTCTATAAATAAATCTTTCTTCGGAGCATTTGGTATTCTCAGCTCTCTTTTAAAAGGTTTCAATTCGTATATGAATTATGTTTATGTACTCCTTTTTCATACATCTCTCGCGTTTTATCATAACTAATGTTATTCTATGTCCATATATTGTTGTCTGAGTTCCGTATGATGATTTTAAAATTTTAATATCAAACCTAGCCTTTAATTTATAGCATCAATTAAAAAAATCATTAAGAACTCGCTACCTAATTAAGAAACGATGTAAAATCAAACCTAATCTATTTAAAGGAAAGACAAATGAATTACCATTCATATTCAGATTTTAGTGAGACGGATCCAGAGGCAATTATATACAAGTAATATGAAGTAACCATCATATTCGACTTAAATCAATAATCAATCAATTAACATTTACTAGCTAGCTACAAACCACAATACTATACTCAAAATCATAGCTACCATAGGCAATAATGATCATAAAAAATAAAATAAAATAAAATAAAATAAAATAAAAAAAAACAAACCAATCACCCGTTATTTTTTATTATAACATATGCTTTATTTTAAAAAAAAAAATCAAAAGTTTTATATCAATTGCGACATCATTTTAAATCTTGGACAATTTCGACACCAAATTGTATGACTTCCTTGACTACTTGCTTGTTAATTTGTTGTTAGTTTTTTCTCACATTGATCAAGCGGTCAATTCCCGACTTTTATCACCCTTCCTTAATATAATTTGTACAAAACAAATCATCAAAATATACCCAAAATTATTTTAGTTGTATGTACGTAATTAAACTTGAATAAACTTTATTTTCTGCAAACTAAATTAATATAGTAGAACTTATTTTTCTTGAATTTTATCCTATTTATATAGTAGCTAGGTCAAAGATATACGTAGTACATTATTTGAAATAAAAAATTTTAAAAAAAAAAAATCGTATAATTTGAATAGAAGGTACTCCTTGGTATCTATAAAAGGAAACCAATAACTAAACCCCTCACTTACACCAACCTGATTACACACCCATCTTCCTACAAACACAAAGCAAAGAGAAAGAAAGTGAGTAAAAACCCAAAAAAATGGCAGGAAAAGACTCATCATCAAGGCATAGGTCAAGGGATGATGATGATCATGATGTAGATTTGGGGCTAAACCAGTACCCTGATAAAGTACCTCTTGGTACCTTAGCTCCGGCTCCTCCAAAGGACTACAAGGACCCGCCGCCGTCTCCCATGTTCGAGCACGGCGAGCTCAGGACTTGGTCTTTTTACAGAGCTGGTATTGCTGAATTTGTAGCCACCTTCTTGTTCGTCTACGTCTCCGTTTTGACTGTCATGGGCGTAGGCCGAGCTACTAACAAGTGTGCCACTGTTGGTGTTCAGGGCATTGCTTGGGCCTTTGGTGGCATGATCTTTGCCCTTGTTTATTGTACTGCTGGTATTTCTGGTAATTAATTTCTCCTCTTCAATTTTTTTTATTTTTTTTTAATATTTTGCTGGTTAAGATTTTTTTTTTTTAATGCGACAATTTTGCAATGGCTACAACAATTTTATTTGTAGCCAAGGTAACCTCTCATGCTATTACTAAGTACTTATGTCACACTTTATGTATATATCGGTCCAAAATATAGTATCTGACATGGATATTTGAGATAAAAAGAAGAGTTCATGTAGCTTAGGTCATTATCTGCTAGACTGCTATCATTTATATTGGCTGATAGTTAGCTATACCAGTTTTATATTTGTACAAGATCTAGTAATAAAATTATGTTGTGTTGTGCTAATTAAGAAAAAATAATAATTAAATTGTTGGATTAAAATGCGGCAGGTGGACACATAAACCCAGCAGTGAGCTTTGGGATGCTATTGGCAAGAAAACTGTCCCTAACAAGGGCAGTATTCTACATGTTGATGCAGTGTTTGGGAGCCATATGTGGTGCTGGGGTGGTTAAAGGGTTCCAGGCCACCCCATACGACGTGTTGGGTGGCGGCGCGAATAAGGTTAACCTTGGTTATACCAAGGCTGGTGGTCTTGGTGCTGAGATTGTTGGTACCTTTGTCCTGGTTTACACTGTTTTCTCTGCTACTGATCCTAAAAGAATTGCTAGAGATTCACCTATTCCTGTAAGTTTAATCTTGTTTAAATTAACTCTTCATTTTATTCCATTATTTTGATTGTTTTTAACTATATACTTCATTCTTGTAAGTTTATTTTTACTAAATTTTTTCACAGAACTAAGTTGTATTAATATGCGTGAGTTTTTAATTAATTTGTATAAAAACTTTGATATTTTAAAATTACAACTGTGACGAATTATTAAAAATTCGACATAATAATATACTATGTATTATATAGATATTAATTTGTATACATTACTTTAAGAAAATTAGATTGATTGAAATTCACAAGTTTTGACCTTGATTAGAGAAATAACAATATAACTAATAGATGAAGTATATGTGTATGTGTTAACATAATTTAAGTTATAATTATCATACACTAATTTTTTTTTAAATCATCATGTTTGTTCTTTTAATTTAATCCAAAGTTTGAAATCATTATTAGTCATAGCTAATTCCACCAAGTCAGTATAGGTCTACACTAGTTTAAATGTCTCTTACCAAACACAATTGATCTATTGGGAACAACTCTTAGACATGTTGTGGTGCAAAAAACTTTGAGAGAGTGATTTAATGTCAAAATTAATTCTCAGTCATCTTATAGATACGTGTTTGATTGACATTATACATGTAAAAATAGCTGAATAAAAGAGTTGAATTTTTGTAAATAAAATTATATTGCCAAAAATTAATAAGTTCATTCGTAACGCTCTAAGATCAAAATTCAATTTCTAACTCATAAAATAACCCCTTTAAGTAAGCAAAACTTCCCACCTTCATTAGAAAGATTAACAACTTAATCATTCAACACAACTCTTGCATGTAACTATTTTTTTATTTTACCAATTTGATTTTCCAAAGCAATTACAAACACTGGTTTATGCATAAATCAAAGTTGCTTGTAATATCCCTCTTTTTCATTCTTTTGACTCATAAAGCTGATTAAATGGGGTAGCAATTGTAACAAAACTCTGAAAAGTAAAACTTGTTCAGATTTTTCAAAACTAAGTACAAAAACTAACAGATTAACTGTAACAATCTATTTGGGGTATACTCACTTGTACTATAAAAATATGTAGGAGACTAGGACAAATATTTCAAATTATTTTTCTGTCCTTTTTTTTTTTTTTTTTTATAATTTTCCTAACATAATAATAATAAGATCGATTAGTAGCATTCACCTTATAGTGATTGGCTGATTTTTCTGTACTCGATGATTTGTTGCCATATGTAGTAAACCCCACTCATTTGGATTCAGAATCACAATAATAATAATGTACGTATTACAATGCAACTTACTGTACATCACTTTCCAAAAATAGCTGTGTGAGTGTGACATGTCTCATACTTTATATCTACTGCACAAAAAAAATGTTATTGCATGCCTTGTTGTGGGAATTTAATTTTATTCATTGAATTTCTCTATCAATACATACTACTATACTAGCCATCAATAATGTGTGATCTACATTGGATAGTATTTGAGTGATCGATGAAGCCGTAAAGATTAAGATTCAATCATTACAATAGATTATTTATTCGGCTTTTATATATTCTCGTATTTACATAAATTTCAGTTACTTATAATCTTAGTAGCACCCATCGATCTAAACTTATCTGAATTACTATCTGAAAATGAATTTAGTATCTCCCATCTGAACTTATCTGAATTTATCTTATTAGGCCAACTATATGCTAATAATTATGCTTGTGCGTGATTTTTATTTGTAGATATTGGCTCCGCTCCCAATTGGATTTGCAGTGTTTGTCGTTCACTTGGCAACCATACCAATCACTGGAACTGGGATCAACCCAGCTAGGAGTTTAGGAGCTGCAATCATATACAACAATGCCATAGCTTGGAATGACCAAGTATGTTCCTTCATTATTAATTAGTGTTAATTAATTTGATATTTTCAATCATCGTACATTATGATAATTATTATTATGTCCTCATTAATTAACTATGATCTTAATTATTTATTGCAGTGGATATTTTGGGTGGGGCCCTTCATTGGAGCTGCTCTTGCTGCTGTTTACCACCAGATTGTTCTTAGAGCCATGCCCTTTAAGACTCCTAACAATGACAAAGCTTCTACCTAGTTTAATTCATTTAAATAATTTATATAATTCTTTTTTTTTTTTTTTTTGTCCTCTCCTCCACCTCCATCATTCCTGTTTCTTGTGTCATTTTGTGCTTGATTAAATGTGTAAGTTATTAATTAGGTTTGTGATGTATAATTACTAGGTCTATTATAAATTTGATGTAATGGGTTTGATCTATTTTATTATCTCATTTCTCTATCAATATGAATGAATGAAGCCAAACATATCTAGTCTTGTTTTGAATTGCAATTAAGGCTTTTACATTGTACAATAGAAGTTGTTCTTATAGATTTTTTTTTTTTAATGTTTTTTTTTTTTCCCTGAAACATTGTTCTTATATAATATAGTGGCATGCATGAAGTTGATTTTTGTGTTCAGTCATATTCAATATCCAAATTTTCTTTCCTAAGGACTCAAATATGACTCGAAATCAATAAATCGTGGAAGTCAAATTAAAATAGATGAACATGTATCTAAGCTTGTTTGCCACGGCTAACATTCTAGATTGAATATGCAAACAGTACAAAATATGAATTAGGAATAAAAAAAATCTTAAAATTTACTACCTTGAAAATGATTGATAGAAATGAAATCAATTCAAAAGATTACAAAGATGTACAATTTTGTATGTATTCATTAACTAGTAGTGGTAGCCCTACTAAGCTATAAAGTTATGAGACTCTTTAATTTGTCTTTGTGTTCAAACTCGAAGAATTTTTTTTTACGAACAGGATACTCATGCATGGTCGACATATATGCATGGTCGTTATAGCAAACTTTACAAAAAAAGCTAGATCTAATATGTCATCCTTGATTAATGTAGTCTACTCAGCAACATTTTATTGGTTGCCAGTTTGCTACAAACACTTTTGGCTCAAATCTTTGTATATAAACCCTACACTATCTCATGAAGTGATTATTAGCAAGTCCGTCTTAAATATTTTGGAGGCCCTGAGCTACCACAAAATGTTGGCGCTATTAAATATGCAGTTAAATTTTATCGTTACAATAATTTATTTAGCAAAAGGATAAAAGCTTGACTATTAAAATTTCCGAGAACACATCTATGATCTTTTTGACTAAATTGTATATTTGTACTACCCCTATTTTGCTAAGTGTTACCCACTTGCATTTTACGCGGTTTATAATCATTACTTTGACCATTAAATTATTTTATTGTGCATTAGTAAGGAGTGAAAAACTAAAAACTATACAATGTTGATATATTAGAATTTCATATCAATACGAATCTAATAAGATTAAACTTGATAGTGTTTTCATATTTATACAATTAGACATGGTCAAAATTTTAAACTTTAACCTAGTGAATAGTATATGGATAGTACTTAGGAAAACGGAGGTAATATGTCATATACACATGTTTAATCTAACTTAGGTTGTTGTAAGACCATCTAAAATGTAAAAATTTTATTACAAATGTATAATTAACAAATGTAATAAGTTGAAATTTTGGATATCTAAAAGATTAATACAAGTTTAATGAGAGATTAGAAGATGAAAAGCTATAAATTTGCAAATAATATAAAACTATAAAAGTTTCATAGAGAATGAAGTAGAGTATAGTAGGATTAATGGATGTAAGAGTTTCATAGAGAATACAGTAGAGTAGGATTAATGCATGGGAGGAAAAAAAAAAGAGAAAGAAATTTGGGGCCCTCCATGATGTGAGGCCCTGTGCAAAGGGTCTCTTTGCACACCCTCTTAGACGGCCATGATTATTAGAAAAGGTAAACGAATGTATTAATCGATTAAATTTACTCTGTATTAACTAAACAATAATTCCCTCTTGTTGGTGATAAAATTATTAATTTGTCCATTATCTAATGTTAGACTGCAAGTGTGAGTTGTTGTCCCACATAGAAAAATTAAATAAACAACCACTAATTTATAATCTAAGTAAGCTACTCCTTTTATTGTCATATGGTTTAAGAATGGAACCTCACTTAGGCTTATGTGTGGGTTTTTCTTTCCTCCTTGTCTCTCCCCCAATTCCTAACAATGGTATCAGAGCCGATGGTTCGGCTAGGCCTCTCGCACCTGTTTCTTAGACGCCTTTGTGTAGGGTCTGTGAGGACAAGACTTGTTTACTAGCGATCTCCTCAGAGGTTCTTGTCTACACCCCAATTTCCTCCATACAAGCTTCTCGCTGGGAGGGTTTGGGTGCATGGTTTCCGCTCAAGGGAGAGTATTTCGAACTCACACTTAGGGGGGAGATTGTTAGGTTGCAAGTGTGAGTTGTTGTCCCACATAGAAAATTTAAATAAAGAACCACAAGTTTATAATCTAAGTGAGCTACTCCTTCTATTGCCATATGCTTTTAAAATGGAACCTCTCTTGGGCTTATTTGTGGGCTTTTCTCTCCTCTTTGTCTCTCCCCCGATTTCTAACATCTAAATTATATATACTACATATTTTTTTCCCCGATTTCTAACATCTAAATTATATATACTACATATTTTTTAAAGTGACGTGTTGCAACTAAAAAAATGGTTTGATTATTTTTTTTTGTAATCATAAAAACATAAAAGTAATACTATGTATTTTTGGAAAATAAAAATAAAATTAAAAATGAGTGTTATATAAAGTAAATTGAAATCTATTTCCACCGCATTTTAGTTGTCCTATTTTCTTTCTTTTAAGGTTGTATAAAATAAGTAAAAATATACGTAGTACAAAAAATCAAAATCATACGTCACTTTAAAACAGTAGCTAGGGGGAAGAAACATCCTCAAGGAGTCAAGGGTATATTATTACTCCATAGTACATACTTAATTACTAATCAATCTTATTCGACAGTCCGCTTCCACTACTAGAAAATAGGCAATTTTGACGGAAAAATTTCGTGAAAACACCCTATTTTCCGCCGGAAAACCCCTTTCCGTCGGAACCAATTGTCGGAAAACATTTTGTAGGAAAAACCACCTTTTTCGACGGGATTCAGTCCGTCGAAGAGATTTTTCGGCCTGGAAAAGTCCGTCAGAAATTTTCGACGGACTGTATTCCGCCGGAAATTTCCGAGAAAAATTCCGTCGGAAAATGCTTAAAAAAACAAAAAAAAAAAACCGCCACCCCCCACCACCAGCCACCAGCCCATCTAACCCGTACCACCACCCACTACCGAACCACCAAAACCTCCACCAGAACTCACCTAACCGAACCAGACCCACCCCTAACCCTAAACGACTAGATTCACCACCTTAACCTACCCCACCTAACCCAAACCCACCCAAACCAAATCCAGATCTACAATCCTAACCCTAACAAATTCGGCCGAACCACCCATCCTATGCAAACCACCCCACCACTGTGGCCGCCAAAAACCACAATCACCACCAAAAATTAACAAAAAAATAATAAAGAAAAAAATTTAAAATCCCAACCAACCCCCAAAACCCGAACTCTAACAGCAACCACCCACCACCACCATAAATTGTAAAAAAATCCGATAAAACAACAAAATAAAATCAAAATTGAAAAAAAAAAGAAAGAGATACATATCTTAATTAGACCACACAAAACCTCGAAATTGGGTTTAAGAGGCCAAATTCGACCATGAAAACTCTAGATCTAGAGTTTTCATGGTCGAATTTGATCTGAAAACCTTTGTTTTCAACATGAGAAGAGAGAGAAACGGCGAAAAAGACGAAAATTGTTGTTGATGTTGATGTCGATGATGGTGTTGTTGTTGATGTCGGTGTCGGTGTTGGTGGTGTTGTTATTGATGTCGGTGGTTAGTGTTGGCGGTGGTGGTGGGAGATACGAGGTGGTCGAAAGAGGGGAAAGAAGAGGAGAGAAAGAGAAGAAGAACGAGAGAGAAGAAGGGGAGAGAGAAGGAGAGGAGAGAGAAGAGGGAAGACAAAGAGAAGGGGAAGGAGAAAGAGGGAGAAGAGGCGGAAAATAGAATAAGGGAGCTGTACGTGTTAAGGTTTTCTAGATGTTTATGTTTTTCTTTTCTTTTTTAATTAATTCCGTCGGAAAAGGTAATTTCCGATGGAAAAATCCGTTGGGATGTACATATATTCCGACGGATTTATCTTCCGTTGGAAATTTCCGGCGGAATTGTTGAATTCGTCGGAAATTTCGATTTTTCCGACGGAATAATGTGTCCGTCGGAACCAGTCTGTCGAAATTTTCCTGTTTTCTAGTAGTGAATTCTTAAGCATATAACTTTTTTTTATTTTTTTTTACGGGAAGTACATAACTTAATCTATAACGAAAACGTAATTGTCATGGAAACACTTCACTTCCTAAGCCCATAAAATCGCTACCGTTAAACTATGACTATAATAACAGTTTTGTAAGATTGCTGGTAAACTCTTTTTTCATGTATATAATCAGCAACCACTTACCTATGTAAAAGATACTCCATTATACAAATATTAGGAAAATGAGAAGGTTTTGCGTGAGACCGGACTCACCATAAGTCCAATATGTCTGATAATAATATTCTAATTTCTGACAATGATATTCTAATATCTGACAATAATAATCTAATACTAAAAAATAATAATATAATACTCTCTCTGTTTTTAAATACTTGTTTTATTTCTCCATGCGCAAGGTTTTAGGAGAATTGGAAAAAGTAATAAAATATGGAGGTAGTGGGGTAGGTGGAAGAATAAAAAATTGTAAAAAGCAAAGTAGTTGAAAGAATTGGAGGATAGAGTATGAAATTAATAAAATATGATTTATGTTGGATCCACTAGTTGAGAGAAATAAATTAAATATGGTTAAAACTTTTCAAATAAGGAAATGAAGCAAGTATTTAAAAACGGCCAGAAATGAAAAGTGGAGCAAGTATTTAAAAACGGAGGGAGTACCAAAAAATAATAATCTAATACCTGACAATAATAATCTAATACCAAACAATAATAATCTAATACCTAACATTAATAATTTTAGGGCTTATTTCCTACACTCTCCTATGATTTTCTCTCTCCTCAACCTTCTCTTCAATAAACGCATCTCCTCTTTCTCTCTTCTCAAGATGAAGGTGCTGCATCAATGGCGGAATTTTCAATGGCCAAAGAATCACTCACCATGCTCATGTCAATGGAAGCACCTTCATTATCATCATTTGGATCGTCTTCTTCGCAGCACCTTTGTCATCATCTGGATCGTCTTCTTCGATCCTACTTCTATATGCTTCGATCTTTCTATGTCAATGGCGGCAACTTCATCATCATCATTTGAATCGTCTTCTTCGCGGCACCTTCATCATCATCATCATCTGGATTGTCTTCTTCGATCCTGCTTTTGTATGCTTCGATATTTCTATACTCTGATTTCCGATGAGTCACGATGATCGTATTTGGGCGGCACACTGTCTCACCCAAAATTTTTCGTGAGAAGGTTTTGCGTGAGAACGGACTCACCGTGAGTCCAATATGTCTTACAATAATATTCTAATATCTAACAATGATATTCTAATATCTGGCAATAATAATCTAATACCAAACAATAATAATATAATACCTGACAATAATAATGTAAAACCAAACAATATTATATTGATACTTATATGCTCTTAAACTATATTCCAATGAAAAATTCTCAAATGCTCGTTTGCGTTAATTTGTGTATAAATGGTACTATCCAACGTTAACAAAGAATTATATTGATACTAACAAAACTGAAATTCTCATTTTTGCATTTGTGGTTAAAACTATGTACTACTTGTCATGAGGAGTGAGGAGTGGAGGGATGATTGGTCCCTCCATCTCCCCTAGTATTATTTTTTTTTACCAAAATTCCCTCCAATTTACAACAATATTTGTGCAAATTTAACATTACCATGTAAATTTATTACATATACTTTTATTACTTTCTCTTTCTATTTTTTTGCTTTTCCAATTCAACAATATTTGCTTTTCCATATACTTTTATTACTTTCTCTCTCTATTTTTTTGCATACCCAATATAAATTTATTTTTCCAATATACTTTTATTATTTCTTATTTATGTTTATTAATTCCCGTGAAAATTACCCATAAAAAAACTATCATCGAAAGACAAAGGGAGTACAACTTAGTACCAACATACATTGTTATAATCATTAAAGCGATATTCGGCGAAATTATGCTCACATTCCGACACGTATTTCCTAAAACCCTAGCATGAGAAAGGAAGTAATTTATGTTGGAAAATCATTGAAAGAGAGTAGCAAAGCTCAAGCATTGCCGACGTGACGACGTCAATCAGTCCGCTAATCCGTATGAGATGGCATCCTTGGATGCATCCTAAAGTGGGCCCAAACACTAATAAAGTCCATAACGTGAGTTCCTAGCAACTTAGACCACGCATGTTCATAGCTCTTCCACAACTACACTAGATCCAAACCAAGTCCATATCAACAAGCCCTTAGCTGGCCCATCTGAGCCCACTATTTTTATTATTGGGCTTTTATCCAACAACAACTGGCCCACTAGTTTAATCAGATCACCTGACACTCTGACATCTCCAACAATCATTTCTTCTTCCTTTTGAAGTACCAAGTAATTAATTCATGAGAAACAAACATACAAACAAACAAATCTTCCCTTCGTCCCAGATTGATTGCTATCGTTTCTCTTTATGAATGTTTTTGTAAGGGTCTGAACGAGCTTAAAGGATGGTATAAATTATAACTTGTAATATATGGTACATAAACCCTTGGTCTAAATTATTTGGCTGAAGCCTCATTGATGGATGTTTTGATTTAGTTGCAACTTATTTACTCTACATAACGAAAAATGCTCTCTAACTTCTCATGAAGTTAGACATCATGTCTACACATACACCCACACATACACCCAGTTCCCACTTTTTAATTATCAGGTTTTAAAAGTAATATGTTTTGTATAAATATGACTAATTTGAGTTCAAAATACAACTTACATTATATGACTTTTATTTTATTTTTTTTGAAAATTGATAATTAAAAAGTGAAAATTGGTTATGACTTTTAACGTATAATCTATATAAACTAAACGACGATGATATCAAACAGCTTTAAGCTTTTTTTTGCAACAAATTTAAACTTGTACCAACAAAAAAGTGAAAACTCTTCCAACTAGTAGAGTATTGTTTATATATACTAGCAAGAAAAAAGTTGCTATTTTGATAAATTTTGGTGTTTTTTTTTTTTTTTTTTTAAAAGAAGTTCAATAATGCACTTAGAATCTCTATCACTTTATGCAAAATTTTATCCATTTATCATTGTTAGCTATAGTGGCAGACTGACAGTGTACAGCATATGGGGTAGCTTACTAACTCAAACAAACACATTCTACTTCAGAGTTCGATCTACGTAGTTCATCACTTTGATATGCACGTCGTTTAAAGCAAAAGCAATAATAATAATAATAATAATAATAAATCAATATAATTGTTGTCTCCCTTTTTTTTTCTACTTCGTACATAATAATAATAATAATAATTTTCTTCCTTTATTATCCGCTCTTCACTCTTAGTATTATTATTTTTTTCGATCGTCATCAATAATTTTGATGATGGTGAGCCCCTTGATTAGATTTTTAGGGTTCATTCCAAGGTTGTCTTCAATTTGAAGAGTCTTTACCTATCTTTGTGGGTCTTCCTTTCTCCTCGTTAAGGTATTGCTTGGCCACTAAGACTTATCCCCATGCCAAGTTATAACAAAACCCATAACGTTTTTCTAAAATAAATAATGATTGCTACAACTCAATCAAATTTACCCACATAAAATATATGAGCAACTTTAACAACTTCTTACCAGAAATATTGGACTATCCGACTTCTATCTTCAAATTTCTTATATATCCATAATTAAATGGGTTACTTACATATCTCATACTTTGTGATCGAATTTTTTGGTGTTTAGAGAACCACAAGGGCGGGTGATAAGAATCGATCCCAGAATTCCCTGCAATTAGGAGGGAAGTTCTAACCAACTAAGTTATCCTTCACTCTCATACTCCGTATTTAATAAGTTGAAAGTTTTTGTTTTTCAATTTTTATTTTACCTTTATGTATACTACAAACAAAATAAAGAACTATAAATGAATTGGGCTAATGAACCGAACCAGCAATGGCCCAATAATAGACTATTGAGTGTTGGGCCAGGTCAGCCAACACCAAACATCACAACAGGCTCATGGTTTCAATGTCTGAGCTTTCAGCTTAAGGCCCATAACCCACAAACCCTTTTTTTTTAATAGAAAAAAAGGCAAATAATAAGAAAGCAAAAAACAATTACCTGAAAAATCCTTGAAGTTGTAGAAAATTCACAGGGTTTTGAAATCTCTGGAACGAAAAAAAAGATGATGAAAATATGGCCATTTACAAGAAAAGGAGCATCTGGGTTTTCAGCTGCTTCCACCGCCAAAGAAGTTACTGATCGAATTGATGCGAATGGCGTCACGGCTATTGTTACCGGTATTCTGTCTTTTTTACAAAATTTCTATTTTTGTTGAATGTTATGCAACTATAGAACTTCATGGTTCGTTCTAAAGTTGATACTTTTGAGTGATTACTTTTTTATTTGATATAATTCGTAGTTAGATATTTGAGCACTATATTACTGTAAACTTTAATATATTATTTGTTTCTGGGATATTATAATATGATCAATTTTAATTATGTATGTTCCTGTTGTTCAAAAAAAAAATAAAAAAAATAATAATATGTTCCTATTTTCAGTTTAAAATTTAACTCTATAATGATTATGGTATAGTTTAAGAAACAATTTTGTTTGTTTGGTGTGTGATTAACTAATTAGAGATTGATATAAATGCGTGGGGTATCCAACTTAACAATAATTAATAAAATTTTCAAATAATACTTGACCGAACATGTGCATTTGCACGGGATATATCCAATTTGCAAAGTACGTGTAACATAATTTTGACAACAAAAGTAGAAGTTATGGAAATTATTTTCTTCTTAGATTGCACATAATAGCAACAAAGTTGTGTTGAAATGTTACTCCTTTATTTGTATACATTGTATAGAATTTTTAAATCCTCTAACTCTAGTTAGTCTAGTGAGTGAATTACGATAATTGTAGCATAGTCTTTATGTTTAGGAGTATTATCGTGCACAATAAGCTCATTAGTTAAGCAATTAATGTCAAGGGGTTAGATTGAAGAAGAAATAACATTAGTGTTGAGCATACTCAATGATCTCTATGCAATATACTTGTATATAACTATCATTATGGGAGTGCCGGTGTTATGACATTTGGGCTAGCTTACCAAACTCGTATATACACTTTGAGCTCAATTTAAGCATATTTTGTTGTCACTGATGCATGATTCTTGATGGTGTGTTATATGACCGTCATCTGCTAGATTATACTTGCTAGCATGATCGAAGGCATTTGTTAGTTGCCTTCATCACTTGATTGTGAGTTGGGTGAAAGGTTATGTTTCCATGTTTCTGTGAAATAGTTCTGCCACATATAATCCTGTTAAGCTTTGGTGTGTAATGTCAGTAATAATATATGGTTGAATAATCATGGTCTCATCAATGTTGCTATGATTTCATTCTATGACATCGATGATTTCAGGATCCACAAGTGGTATTGGAGTAGAAACAGCACGTACACTTGCCTTGCGTGGGGTTCATGTTGTCATGGCTGTGAGGAATGTAGAAGCTGGCAAAAATCTCAAAGAGAAAATACTTGAAGAAATTCCTGCTGCAAAAATTGATGTTATGGAGCTGGATCTTAGCTCATTAGCATCAGTGGAGAAGTTTGCATCTGATTTCAAGTCCTCGGGTTTGCCCCTCAATATTCTCATGTGAGGATACTGAACTGATTAATTGTTGACTTGAGCACTTGAATTTCTAGAACTTGCAAAACTTCTATGTAGTTTTGAACTTGCTTACATAACTTTCATTGGAGATGTGCAGTACAATTGCTTTTAATGCAACTATAACCTATATTTTTTTTAGTAGCAGTGCTAAACGAACTCGTATTTTTGAAGAAACAATGCAGGGATTATGGCTACCCCATTTCAGCTGTCCAAAGACAACATAGAAATTCAGTTTGCAACCAATCATTTAGGTGAATAGTCTTTTAAGTCTCATTGCTTTCTGCTCCCTCTCCCTCCTCTCTACTTTCTGGCCATCAATAAAATTCCCTGTTTCAGATCTATTTTAAGTTCCTCTCTTATTACCTTGAGTGGTTCCTGACTGCTTTAAATATGTTTGCACTTGATCCCAAGCATAATTACAGACTGTAATCATTATATTTCTAGGTCATTTTCATTTGACGGATCTGCTATTGGATAACATGAAGAAGACAGCCCATGAAAGCAACAGGGAAGGAAGGATTGTGATTGTTTCATCAGAAGCCCATCGGTTTGCTTATAGTGAAGGAATTTGCTTTGACAGAATCAACGATGAGTCAGGGTACTAATCTCGTCTTTGAGTTGAGAATTCGTCCTTGTTGTAACCTCTTAGTTCGATGGTTCATATTATTTCGGTATGTCAATGGTCTGCTGTGCATATGTTTTTATCATATGTGCAAAATACTGGGTCTTGTGAAAGGCACCCCACTATAAGGGGATGGTATGATATGTTGTCTTCTGACTTCTTTGTTGCTAAAAATGCAGGTACAACAGCTTGCAGGCTTATGGACAGTCAAAGCTTGCTAACATTTTGCATGCAAATGAGCTTACCAGACGACTAAAGGTACTTCTGCCCATTCAGCTCATGATTTCATGCATAAGCCTTCATCATTTATCCAGTGCCAATTTGTTGTACCACGTTTCTCTATTAATTCAGGAAGAAGGGGTTCAGATAACTGCAAATTCACTTCATCCTGGATCCATCACAACCAATCTTCTGCGTCACCGCAGTTTTATCAATGGTAATTTCAAAGCTTTAGTCTCAATTTAGACATGTACCTCCTGGCAAAACATGATTCTTATAAGCCAAGCCTGATAATTAAAACTCTGTAAATAGTGTAAAGCATAGGTAGAGATTATTATAAAATAATATTATGGTCTTTCCACAAGTATTTTTGATACCAATACGGCAATGTATAGTTCATACATTAAATCAAGGTTTTTCTTTCAATGAAAAGAAAATTTACTAGTAATTTGCAATGGAGTAATTAATCAAGTCATTGGCTTTTTCAGTTAAAGTTCAAGATTATTCTTACTGACATATAATTTTTTATCTATTTAATAAGAAGTCAAGAACATCCTCCAATACTAGACCAGATTTCTGAGAAGATGATGTTTGTATAAACTGTATATTATTTCCTTGGTAGTATCATGTCTAATTTTCTATATGCTTACTCTGCTTTAATGCAGGATTCATCCACTCTCTAGGGAAACTTGTGCTAAAAGATGTTGAGCAAGTAATCTTCCCGACCTTTATTGGCCATATATTGCAGAGTTTTATTCAGATGATTTATACAACAATCTCTAAAATGTGGTCTTGGTGTATGTGACAGGGTGCTGCGACATCATGTTATGTGGCATTACATCCACAAGTGCAAGGAGTAAGCGGCGAATATTTCATGGATAGTAACATAGCTCAGCCAACTTCCCAGGCGAAAGATGCTGTGCTGGCAAAAGAATTATGGGACTTCAGTTTGAAGCTCACAAAATCCTAGCTTCAAGTTACGTTCAGTTGGCGGTGCAGTTTATTGCTATGAGCTGTTTTGACGTCTAGCATACTGAAGATACTCTCATAGAATGAGCTATGGGCTATAAGTAGAATGAGCTGTAACTATTTCATAGAATGAGTTGTTCTTGTTCAATTACTATTTAAAACTTTTGCTATAAATCTCAATTGCTTACTATTCCCTCCGTCCCATAATATAATTCCTATTGTGTTTTTTTCACGGTATTTAAGAAATGAGAGTAGAAGTGGAAAAAGTACATTAAAAGTGGAAAAAAAACTAGACAAAAGTACAAGACCAGTGGATAATTTAAGGGGAAAAAAGTGAACAGTATAATTATAGACAAAAGTTAGAGAGAGAAAGTGGAAAAAAGTACAATGCAAGTGGATAATTTAAGGATATATTAGGAAATTTAATGAATAAAGTTACAAAAATGAGGGTATAATGGTTTTTATATACTATCCAAACATAGAAACAAGAACAATATTTTGGGTCTCCAAAATAAGAAAACAAGAACTATATTGTGAGTGAGTAAATATTGTTCAGCAATACATCTGGCAAAATTAAATTTCCCATCAATATGTAGGATATGCAACTGTCAAATGATACAAGGCATCATAAGCTTCCTTGTCTGGCAACTTTGGCACAAAATTGGGCTGTTCAATGATATGTACATACAGCAAAATCATAATCACTAAACTAACCTAAAAATTCAAAAATTATCTAGCTATTCACTATCATATTTGCTCCTTGCACGAAGAGAATCCCACAAATTCTGATCTTCCTTCTGCAAGCTTGGCGAACCCTAGAATTTCTATTTACATCTGTAACACTACTTCAACTGTACATAAATCATTCACCCAGCAATACAACACGCCTTCTCCCAGTACAAGACTGTCAAAAAAATTGTCGAACAATACAGCATGAGCATGACAATTAAATTAACAGGGACTAGGCTCATTTGAGATGATCAATCAAGAGTTGCTGAGATACATGACTGGCCAATACTGACTGTCGATTACAAACTTCCCCTGGCTCACGATGAATTCCTTGTACAAACTTACTTCCAGCTAAGTCATTTCGACATGAAATATATCTCCATTTGTCTGGGAAACCTCTGGAATACCAGATAAAGTTTCTAGCTTTGTTTTGCAGAACAAGGGGTTGCCACTGGCATATAGACTTTTTTGGGACTTTCGATAAGGAAGTAAATGGTCCAAATGTTTAACTGGGAAAGCAACATTGCCACTGGTGCAAGCCCTGCAAGGCGTAGATGAGCCAGAAGCAGTCTGGGGTCCGGATATGGTAGAATTTCTGTACATTGGCAGTGATGACTTTGGATGCAAAAAAGGACTACCAATAGGAGAAACTGGACATGATATATGCTTTGACATCGGAGTGTTCCTGCATAGAAACCCAACAGTAAAAGAACTTCAGCATCTGTAGAAAATATACACTCAACCAGAATCAATTATCACTAAATTTATCTCAAGCACTCATAATTGAGCATTCATTGTGTTTTTAATAAAATGTTCATTTTAATAGTAGTCTCCTTCCCATCATCTCTTCACCACCCCAATTAAGTGGACTGCGTGATTATTTTTGTACTATGGATACGTTTTTGTCATACCAATTTGACTAATTGCCCATTAAAAAAATTACAAGTAGCATTGAGTAAAGGAAATACATAATTTTCATTGGTGATTTTTGATCTTATGAATGATACGTATAAAAATACAATAAAACAAGACAAGATTATAATGTCTAGAAATAAAGGATTTATCTGATCTAGGTGTGTCCAAACTCCTAATATAATCCAACCATGGTTACAAGTATGAAGAATTTTGAGCAATGAGGAAAGATCACAGCACAATCAAGGAATGAGCAAATGTGAATTAGAACGAAGAGAATTGCATCTCACTCTGGGCAGAGGCATGTTAATAGAGCCACTCTCATATAGATATTTGTTTTCCTATAATGGGTATGGTGTAACATTTGTGAAATTTCCTTGATGCTAAGGTGATTCCAAATCACAATTTAGTTATCAAATAAATGCCAACTTTCTAATCACCAGACGGCAGAGAACGCAAGGAGAGAAGAAGGAACCTGGATCCTGATCCATTTGTAATGTCCCTGGACAACTGAACAGCCACTCCTTCCAAGTCTGAGCTTGAAATTGTTTTCACGTGACTCATGCCCTGTAGTTACCAAATATTTAGCCACATATAGAAGCTTCTGCAGGCAACAAATAAATAGCAGCAGAAAATCTTTCGATAATCCAAATCACAATCAAAGCTAATTGCATATATGTAGTATGATTTATATTTGTTTCTCTCCCTCAGGCCCTCTCATATAAGTATTAACCCTGTGAAGTGCAAACCAATCTCCCCACCATCCCCCCACCCCCCTCCACACACACACACACACACACCCTGCCAACTAAATTACATGCTATTCGTAAAGAGAGAAAGAGGGATAGCAACTTTTTCCATTTCTCAGCCATCCAGATAGATATTCTCAGTGATATAATCAAGTTGACACAGTGAAGGCATGCATGCTACTGAAGGAAGTTGAGCAGAAATCACATATGGTAAAGAACACATTACACAGGGAAAAGTTTCCAAACATATCCGTCTTCATTAAAAAAAATTACTAAAGTTTTACTGCAAGTCAATTTACATGCAAGGACATCAAGAAACGGAAAGTTGGAAATCTAGCAGGATATCTAAGCAAATGTGCAAGACTTAAATTTATCTACTAGCTAAGGAAGGAATCTATTAGGCCTAAGAAATTCACATTACCCTTCACTAATATTTAAAAATTTATTAAAAATCCAGCACTTTCAAGCTTTTTCATGAATTTTGCAGCACAAAAAACCTGAACATGGTGCAGCAACCGGACACCCATAAACAATGCATATTTACACAGTAAGGTGACAAAAGGAAACCCTCATGCAATTATGTAGTGTTTAGCAATGAGATGTCATGTGATCTATTTCCATCAACTACAAATTTCATACCTTATATCTTTCTGCATCAAAAGGTGTATAGTGCAGCCCAAGTGGATCTAAACTTATTGAGCCTTTTACAGGTGAAGTTACATTTCTGATGAAAGGATGCCCCAACAGCTGGATAGCAGAAGGACGATCTCTCGGGTTTCGCTGCAAACATCGCCGAATAAAGTCCTTTCCTTCCATTGAGAGATGATCGGGGACTGTGGGAAGTTCTTTGCTGTTCCCAATTTTGAAGAGAGCTGCAACCTTCAGGACAAACCAAAACAAGAATGATTGAACTCATATATTAAAAGAGGGGGGGGGGGGGGCAGAGAGAGATCAATGCACAAGTACTAGTGTCGCAATTAGTGGATTTTATACCCTTCAACCTATCATTTGAAATTGCTACAATGGGAAGTGGTACGAACAAGATCATAGTTCTGAGATGAAACATGCAAACATCTGTCATTCATTAACACCTCATGCCACTCACCCCTTCATATTGACTCCAAGGAGGTTTTGAGGTAGCCATCTCTATTACAGTACATCCCAGACTCCATATATCAACAGCAAGGTTGCACCCATTCGAGTTCCTAATTACCTGAAGTAAAGCAAAATTGATCAATTCTGGAAACCCTGGTCAGAGCTCAAATTGAGAACCAGAGCAAAATATCAAGTTTGCTAACCTCAGGAGCCATCCAGTATGGGCTTCCTTTGAAAGAAAATGGACATGATTGCCCAGTGATCTGCAATGTTGTCAGATAAGTCTTTCAAATCAACAATTTATGTACAGAAGACACGGATACAATAATGCAGGTCGCCAGCAAGGATATTCTAAACTAACCTATCCTTTTTTCTTCAAGTCTATCTTGACATAAATCATTAAAGGATAACAAGACAATTTATTGTTAACTACATAAAAATGGAGGAATTAAACGAGGGAGAGGGAGACCGAAAATGACTTGGTTGGAAGGAGTTAGGAAGGATATGAAGTATATGGATTTGCATGAAAATGATGCATTTGATCGTAAGGGATGGAGGAGGAAGATTTTTGTGGATGACTATACGGAATAATCACTTTTGGTTCATGTAGCCGACCCCACTTATGGGATTAAGGCTTTGATTGATTGATACTTAAAAATTTTGCTTCATATGTGAGGGTAACACAATAGATAAAAATATACAATGAGCACTGGAGTTACAGAAATGTGAAGTGGGGTATCTAGACTATCTACTTACATGTTTCGCCATGCCAAAATCTGCCAATTTAACCTGCCCACTTGGGTCCACAAGAATATTGGCTCCTTTAATGTCTCTGCACAGCACATACCATCAACAGATATGAGAAGTAGCTAGTTTAAATATGACATGCTAACCAAGCAAGTAAAAGCAGATGAAAGCATAAACTTTTTTGCGACATGAACCTGTGAGCAGTGTTTTTAGAGTGCAAATACGCAAGTCCAGACAAAATTTGGCGTGTATAGCTGCGGATAGCTGATTCGCCAAGCTCACCATATTCCCGAAGAATTTTATATATAGAACCACCAGAGACATATTCTAAGTATATATACAGTTTGTCGTCAACCTACAGAAGATTGGAGCCTCGTATAATGTTAATATAGAACATAATCCCAGATCAGAAAAAAGAATTATTTAACTCAGCAGCATGAGATAAAAGGAAAGCAAAAGAGTTGAGTTTGCAAAGTAGATTAACCATAAGCATTAATACTCTTACAAACAAGGTTTTTAGCAATATATACCAAACAGAAACACTTCCAGCAATTTTTATTTTATTTTTTTTTGTTGGATGCCTTACCATATCAGAATCAAAATACTGCACAATATTTGGATGTCTAAAGTGGCTCAGCAGAGTGATTTCCTGCAACACAATCAACAAGCACAGCAATATTTTTAATGGACACATAAATCAAATGAAACTACTACTAAGGATCACCCCATGGAAATTTCAACAATTGACATAGGCTTTCTTTATATGTTTATTTAATTATTTATTGACAACACAAATAGAATGAGTGAAGACATACTTGTCTGAATTGCTGTGCACTTTCCTTTGACTTGGAATCATCAGAGAACAAAGTAACTTCCTTCATTGCACACATCTCACCAGTTTCACTGACAATCAAGAAATGGAGAATCAAATGAAAACAATTCAAGAAGTCAGATTAAACATTAATTAAGATGAGGATTATATTAAAAAAAAAAAAAAAAAAAAAAAAAAAAAAAAAAAAAACTGAACAGATCACGTATGACCAGAGCCCAAAGTAAAACAGGAGTAACAAACGGATGAGATAATAAAGTGTTAGAGATTCAAAGAATTCAACATAAGGTTGCTAAATTGAAAAACTTCCGCTACCAACCATATTAATTAATGATGCAAAACATGGAAACTTCAGTTAACAAACCTGTTGAAGCCCAGATAGACTTGACCGAATGTGCCACTTCCTATAAGCCGTCCTTTTTTCCATTGTGAAACAGGGCTTGTTGAAATTCCTGGTCGAACATGGGTTCTTGGATTAGTAGGAGTATTTACTCCTACATATGAAGATGAAAATGGACAAGAGCTGCAGGCTGTTGCAGGTGGTAGTGGTAGCTTGTGACTCTCAGGCTTTCCATCACCAAACCTATCCATAGGATGTAATGGACTCACAACGCCGTTTTGTACGCAAGAACCTCGACTAGGACTAATCATTATAGGGCTTGGTATTCGAGAATAATTTGGCGTACGCCCGCTCTGAGGCCCAAAGAAAGACTGATCTGAGACAGGATTAGGTCCTGAAATTTTTTCAGAACCCAAATTGCAGCAATGTTCAGGTCCAACCAAATTCATATCTGAGCATGGTGTTCCTACACCAGAACTAGATCTGATAACTTGTTCATGGGTACAAGCCTTTACTGGGCTTCGAGAAGGACTTGAAGTGTAGCTGTCTGGAGCACTGAAGAAACCAGCACGAGGAGCAATCTGCAGTTTGGTCACTTGGGTACCAAATGATCCTTTTTTGGTAGATTTCAAAGGGACATGATCACTGATTGACAGGTTAACTTGCTTTAATTGATCCTTCAAGATTCTTCGAGCAATGATAGAGGAATGATCCATGTGCCTTCATACATAGTTAAAAATAAGAATTCTATCAAAAAACAAAAAGACAAGCAATAGGTATCATTAAAACTATCCATTTGACATCATGTACATGATGAAAAAGAAAAGGTTGGTAAGAAAACGCCTACCTGGAAGGGCTGCTGATAGCCGTTGCATTCCCACTTCCATAATCAGAAGCCTGTGGGCTCAAGAACTGGGAATCAGGCTGATCATTTGTATCAACTGAGCTATTACTGGAGATGGAGGCAGTAACAGAATCTCCCCAAGCATCCACAGCAAAAGACTGTTCACGGTTATATTCATGTCCAGAGAGAAGATCAGAATTTAGCAAAGGCTGAGAGCATCCATTTAACTCCAAGCTTGATGGGATATGTCCAGAAAGAGGATGTTCTACTCCTACCCCTGGAGAATGCTGTACAGGAAGAGGAAGAGGTTGAGCATGAGGTTGCTCAGTAAAACAATGGCAAGGCGATACTTGCAACGAGGGTAATGTAGAATCTAAGTGGGGTGATCTCTTTTCTGAGCAAGCATCTATATAATCCTTTTCTGATCCTGCTACATCACCCATTTTCTTCTCTTCTGAACGAATGTTTAATTTCCTTTGTATTAAATCGATAAAACTTCTTCTGTTTGTCTTTTGTTGAACCTTTTTGGATGACAAATTGCCCCACCACATAGGCATATCTATGTGCAAATATACACCAGCAATGTGCTACTTGACCTAAGTACACTCTCAGAAGAAAGACAGTTGTGACTTAAATGTGAAAAAATGGAGATATATTGAAGAGAAGACAGATTTCACTCTAGTAAAAATGCAACTTCAAATGCCCCAGATGATTTCCCGACTTCCAGCATGATTTGCAAAGAATCTGTTTAGAAGATTTAGACATTAATATGACAAACATACATACTGTCACATTACAGTAAGACAACAGAAGTGGGGACGTTAAAGTAGATTCAATAGATCCTATACAGAATTGCTTAGTATGATGATGGCATGATATAGAATTCGTGAACAAAACAATTCTCAATCGAATCATTGGCCAAGAAAGGCAACTGAATCGACATGTTTATCCACGTATCAACACAAACACACACATAACGTCGCAACAAAAGTGTAATGGTCTACAAACAAAGCAACTTTGGAGCTTCAATACTAGAAGATTCACACCATTAATTTAAAAACCACCCTTATTTGTCTCTCTCAATGTATTGTAGAAATATTTAGAATTTCAGACCGTCAAATCCTAGCAAAAGGCCTTCACTCCCATGCACTTTTTAACAAATTCAACACTCCAGGTTTCAAAACAGTAACAAATACTCTTCTCAATCTACTTGTGAGACCTTTAACACACCACTAAAACTAATTCCCAGAAATCCTCTATATCTTCCACAAACATTTTATAAATATTCACACAAAGCAAAATTAAACTTAATTTCGACAGCAACAACGAACAACCTTATATAAAAGATTAGACTAAATACTCCAAAAATCCCTCCAAAAAAAGAATTTATAACTTAATTAAATAATTACCAATTTCAGTATATTGATACTGAATCAAACTCTTAAGTGGCTGATACTATGATCAAACTAAAGAATAAGTAACCTACATTACAAAGGTAACAATTATCATGCTTATACACCTATTTCGGTATTTCCTACACACACGCACTAGCATGTCCATTATGTTCCTGAGTACACCTAAACCCGGATTCCGGGAACACGTAAACACTTGTGTAAACACACACACACAACAAAAAAAAGAATAAAGCATTTCCCTTGACTAGTTTGTGAAATGAATAAAGCATTCGTCAAAGCCTAAAAACGAACCTGTTATCAAAATCACATCTTTATTACAGCATCCTTAAATTTCCCAATTTCCATTCTCAAACAAACATTACCTTTATATATAAACCAACTTAATTAAGCAAAATAATTAAGCACAACATTGACTAATTCCAACATAATTAACCCTTGAAATTAATAAACAGACCAAGTCAGAAAACAATCATCATAAACCTTAAAAATCGAATTAATTCCCAAGTCAAATAAACATCAAAGTAAATCAAATAACCCATGAATTTATATTTTGCTCACATGTCAAACATCAACTCGATCAAAACACTTTAAAAATCCAACATTTTTAATATAAATTGAAAACCCAGAAATCCAATTAAATTACACAATTTATAGAAGTTATAAATATTTAATAATCAGTGAAGAACAAGTTACCTGGTGATTGTTGAGGAGAGAGAAAATGTGAGTGAGGTTTTTTGATTTGAGACGAAGAAAGACCCTGACCCAAGAAATACGACAATTATTAAAATAAAAATAAATTGAAATAATAGAAGAATATTGACATCATCAACTACGTTCATTGGAGGTTATGTGACGTCAGGTGATATATAACCAACAGTAGAAGAAAGTGAAGTGAGTCACACATAAAAGCATTAATTTGTCTAATTAATCAATAATCATGTTTTAAGTTATAAGCTTAGAAGTTACAAGAAGCTTGTGTTAAATTAAAGTATTGTTTAAATGTTTAAATTAATCAGCTGAATCACGTTAATTGTGACCTTTCCATACTACGGAGTAGTATATAAGTACTCGTATTAAGTTAATGTGACCTTTGCATACTACGGAATACGGATTACTTAGTATATAAGTACTCCTATTAAGTTCCCTTCAAAAAAATAAAAATAAAAAGTACTCCTATTAAGTTAATGTTCAGCTATGAATGGTTAAGATAATTATATAATTATATTTACATATTTTGTATTAAGTTACCATAAATAAATTTACTTACTAGCTTCTGCATCAAGCAACCTCAAATACCTGTTCTCAAAAAAAAAAGCAACCTCAAATACTTGACTTGGCTACTATACAACTCGGTCAATATGTGTGCTTACTTGTGCTATCTTTAGAACTCTGCCTTTTAGGCCCCGTTTGGTTTGATGTAATATATTTTCAATGAAAAATTAGTTTTTATGCAAAATATATTTTAAAAAAAAATTTACAAATTAGTTTCCTTTGTTTGGTTGCATACAAGAAAACATCAAGAAAAAGAAAAAAAAAATAGGAATGGGAATGTGGGGATGGATTAGAGGGAAGTAAAAAGAAGATAAGGAGGAGGGAGGAAAATGTGGTTTCCCTTGTTTTCTAAAGGAAAATGTTTTATATCATTAAGGATGCAATTTTCCACTATTGGAAAAATTATTTTCCACCCCTCCACAAACCAAACAAAGGAAATGTGAAAAAAAGGAAATAATTTTTCATGAAAACATTTTACATCAAACCAAACGGGCCCTGATCTTTTTGCATGGAATATTAGAACGAATTCGTCTCACGATAGTTCAAACATTTTTCTAAATTACAAGTATTATAATATAGAATTGTTGCGACACTATTGAAAATGCATGATGTACTAGCTACTCTTTATGGAGTAATAAGAAAGTGAATGTGATATGTGACACGGCGTCCTATTGTTTTATTAAAAAAGTTTAGATTAGATTTAGGGCCTATTCCGATTTATTGAAAACAACTGAATTGAACTGAACTAATTAGGGCTGAACTGAACTAATTAGGGCTGAATAGAGTTGAAATGAATTGTTTACGAGAGAAGGAAATTAGGAACTGAATTGAGCTGAACTTATTGGAGCTGAACTGAACTGAACTGAATTGAAATTGAGCTCAACAGAACATACCCTTAGACTCTAATTTAAAGTCCAAAATCTTTAAGATTGGACTTGAACTCAACCACTCAAAACCCAATAGTTCAATTAAGTCTATAATTTCGTAATTAATTATTTGGACGTATGAACGTTGAAATTGACAAATATTTTTAGGGGCCATTTGGTTCGCTGGAATGGGGAAAGGGAATGGGAATAATTCCCTTTATTAGTGTTTGTTTTCACTTATTTGTCATTCCCATTCCCCCATTTTATTTTTGGGTTTACCCAAAAATCTCCTAAACCCATTCCCCACCCCCCCTACCTTTTGCATTCCCATTCCCCTACCACCGTCCACCACCATACCCTATCAACTGCATGCACCTCGCCGGACCTCACTTCACCTCGCCGGAACTTACTTCACCTCGTCGGATGCTCGTCGACCCTCCCCCGACCCTCGCCGCCCCTCCTCCCACCCGAAAATCCCCCCCATCCACGCATAACCCTTAAAAAACCCTCCCCTCCACCGGAACAACCGGCCGCACCTCACGGAAGTTCGTCGCCCCTACTCCGATCTTCGCCGCCGCCCCTCCCCTCACCCTGATAATGTCTCCTCTCCCCGGAAAACCCCCCCTCACCCACACATAACCCTAAAAAACCCTCCCCCTCCCCTTAGAACAACCGGCGGAAGGGTGGCGGAAGGGCGGCTAGGGGAGGCGGTGGGGTGGTTGGATGGTTGGGGTCTTCAAGGCTGCTGGAGAAAGAGGGAAAGAGAAGTGAAGAAGTGGTGGACTGGTGGTTGTGTGGTGGTGTATTTTTTTTATTTTTTTTTTAAAGTTGTTTCCTTTTGTTTTGTAAAACAAACAACTTTGTAAAATAAAGGGAGTTGCATTCAATTCCTCTTCTTTCCCTTTCTTTAAGTCATTCCCTTTTGCTTAGGTGAACCAAACGACCCCTTAGTTTTTAATATTAGTGGCTTTGAGAGATTAGGCTGTTATGCCTTCACTTACAAAGGGCTCTAAAATTTCATGACTCCTTTTCTCCATCTCTCCTACTAACGTTGAAGAAGATTTGGAAGATATCAAGAATCCTGAATGATTATGACTTGTACATATATGATTATTATGCCTATTTTCTCCTCTTTTTTTTAACATTTATTTACACTCTACTTCTTTTTTCTTTTCTCCAAATGTTATTACCTATGTAAATATCACTAACAATTGATGTAGAAATTGAAATCGAAAGTTGAAACTTTAACAAGTTAGCTGGTATCAAAGATGATTAATTATCATGCCTTGATATATTTGTATTTTAATTAGAGGAACTAACAATTTGATACGTACTTTGGGTTTGGGTATAAATATTTGGCCTAAATACAAGCCTTGCACAAAATGGGCCACCTATTTTTCCAAAGCTCATTTTGACCCAATCCAACCCATTAAGTATAGTTCATACTTTGTACAGGTTTATAGATTTGTAAAGATTAGGAAAGTTTTGACTACGCACAGAAAACTCATCAATAATAACTTAATAACTTAATACTAAAACAGTCACCGGAAGTGACACGTGTCACATCCTGGTGCTGTTTTTCCCCTCCAAATCTCTCCTTCTCTTTTTGATCTTTATTTTTTATTTTTTATTTTTTGTTAATATTTGATTCTATAATAATATTATTCTAAATCTTTTATATTATATCTTTATGACAAATATATTCCTTTTTACTTAGTGTTCATAATTATTCAATACACATTAAACACCTCTAGCTAATATTATATTTCAATTTCAATATAACTATATATTCAAATTAATTACAATTTTGTTTCTGAAATTATACTACTTTGTACTACATATATATTATCACAAATTAAGGATTTATAGAGTATAGTATAACAATAAAATAAATGTTGTGTTTGACAATTATATCATATGTCTAATTCTAGGAAAAGGTAAAATAACAATTAATTTTTTTTGTAAATTACGTAACTAAAAATATCGATATCTCAGTAAAAGCAAATAAAATTATTATTTTTTGCCGAGACACTTGATTGAGATGATAAATTTATTACATCCGACATTCATAAATAATCAGCATACTGACACGCCAGACGTAGTGACAATAATTGACATCTCCTTTTGTATTTTATTTTTATTTTTTTTATATATATATTTATTATCTATGATTAAACTTTCTAGACAATAAACAAAAATTATTAAGCTACAATTATTGAATAGCTTCAAACACAATTTTTTTATACAACAAGGAATGACGATATCATATATGTAAAGCATCAATCCATAAACAGAAAATGTAATGTGTGTGTGTACTTTTGCTAATAGTTTTAGTGGAGATTTTAGTCTATTGTTTGATTAATTTTTGATGTTTATTAAAAAGGCTTTTATAAATAAGTAAAGATAATAATATGGCCACTGGACGGCCCGTCTGGACCTGATCAAACCAAGCCCCCCGCTTGAAAAAAATTTCGGGTTTGGGCAACCCTCATTTTTGTTTTATTTTTTGCTTTGCCTATAAATATAGATTATGACATTATAATTTCTATATATTTGATGTGTATGTTTTATCAAATTTTACTTGTCGGATATAATTATTTTTTCATAAAAAGATTAGACTAATCGTGCATGGCACGGGCCTTAAGCTAGTGGTTCAATATAAGACAAACGAATCAATGTGCAACTGACAAGTGTCACTCTATGATTCGCTTCTCTTATATATGTAATACTATCTCTAAAAAAGACTTGACATGTTTTATTGCGTATTTTTGGTTAGTTTCTATTATATATATTATTTTGATTCCAAATTATATTTTATTGAATTTGATTGACTCTAAATAATTGATTAAATTTTCAATATATTAAATTTTTTTTCAAAGTTTATATATTTATGAATGTGTAATTTTTGTTTATTAAATTTCAAAGATATATGTACGTATATCTTTTTTCACACTTTATATCTACCTATCTAATGTAATTTTAGACTACATATCTAATGTAATTCTGAATTAATATGGAGTTTACGAATTGTGAATATACAAAATTAAAGTGAAATTAAATTAACTTAGATTAAAAAAAAATATATATATCTAATGTAACTTTTTCCTAAGAAAAAGTTAAACAATATTTTCCTAACAATAATTATGCTAATAATTTATGCATACATAATAATAATTAAAGATTCTGTACCAGTTTAAGATATTTTTTTTATTAACAAAGATTTCTAATGAAATTTATATGAAGAATTCAATTTTTAAAAGACAACAGATCATGATTGGATTTTGAGGTTGTAGAATTCTATTTTGTAGCTTGGTTTGTAGTTTTAGTTTTGTCTTTGTTAGTTGTTATCGGGGTTAGCGTACCCTTGTACCGTTTTATCTATAATTATCTTTTTTTTTTATTAATGATATTACTTAATTTACCAAAAAAAAATAAAACATTATATAAAGAATATTCTTATTTCTATAACCATTAAATTTTCATATTTCCTTACTAATGTAATGCTAATATTCAAATTTTAAATAATTACGATATAAGAATAGATGTCCGTAAAACATATATATTACATACATTATTGGTTAGTTGATGAAAGATGTCTTTAATTCTTAAAAATCTTAATAAATA